TAACGTTTCGGTAAAGTTCAACCTATGCTGATGGCACAGACCAGAAATGTAAAATCTGAATAACTGCAACAGAGGTCATCTGGATCTGGGAATGTTAAAATTGCTTTTAAAGCACTGCTGCGTTTCAGTTTTCCCTCCCCACAGCTTGTGTTTCCTGTGGGGCAGACCCTGAGGAGGCCACGGACCTGCATGTCTGGGGTCAGGTCACAACCAAACTGCAACTCCAACTGCCCCAAATCCAGATACCCGGCCTTGAAGAGAGCTGTGCCCGTGTGGTGGAAGAGGAGATGGTGGGACCGAGCTGGGTGGTGGAGCCACAGCTCCCAGGAGTGCAGGGTGGGGCATCCTCACCCCTGGGGAAGGAGAGAATGGGGGGAAATGGAAGAAAATGGGGCAGAGAGGAACAATAACATATGGAGAAAGGGAGGTGACTGATGCACATGAATTATTACATATTTAGCTTTCCTCTGAATCTGGGGGAGTGTAATTAATGAGCTGGTTCTGGCAGCTTCAGTTTCAGCACAGTGTGCACAGGTGGGATGGGCCCAAGAGGAGTCTGGGCCACCCTGGATTTAGCACAAGATCAAAGCTATGGAAACAGCCCAGCAGAACAAACGGCTCCTGTTGCTTTTCCTGGAGAGCTGTGTGCACAAGCACTTCTTTGGGGGCCTGGGGCAAAGGGCTGCAACCCATCCCCTGGGCAAGGCTTAAACATGGACTTGAGCTGCACACCTTGGATGTTACACTCGAATGCCAGCACTGGGCAGGGATGTCCCTCCTGCAGAGCCCGGGCGTGGATGCTGAGTGCCCCCTCCCAAAAGCAGTGGCTGCTCCAGCCCCGGCTGAAGCTGCTGCCTGCAGCAGGGAAATGAAAGGGCAGCTTTGACCACAGAGTCTGGGCAATGTCCCTGAGGAAGCAGAGGTAGCAGATCTCTATCAGGAAACTGCTTGCAAGAGCCTTTTCACCACTGATAAGCCCTGAGCCGTGTGACCACGGCCTCGTGCAGTTACAACAGGGTCCCAGCAGCTTGTGACTTCAATGCCTTTTACAGGAGAATTAGAGCTCCTGGGAAGAATTGCCTTTGCCTTGCCAAATTGTTTATCATAATTCTTCATGCATTTAGTCACACATAAATATTCCCATTTCTTACAGGGACTTGAATTATTGACCAGCATAATGCTGAATTCTACTGGTACCACAAGGGCTTAAGATGGCAACGGTGGAAAAGGCTGGATTAGAGATGGGTGTATTTTAGAATGCTCTTTTTCTTCTCTGAATATTCATGGCCTCAAGGATACTACTCATGTATTTTCGGAAGATACCTTTCTACTTGCAACTGAGCTGTTGGAGACCTGAATAAAATAAAAATCAAAAGCAAAATTTTGGTATGCTTTACCTGAAAAACAACACGCATTTCCACATACAGAAATCTTTGGCTGCAGTTATTTTGGGTGCTAAGGCAGGACCTGTTGATACAGCTCTGTCAGTGCCAAGCTACAACTGCACTTCACTACAGAGATAAAAAAGGAACAGAGTAAGAAGTAGCTCTCTGTTAATATGACAAGGTAACAGCTCTTTGCTGGCAGGAAAGATGTAAGGTTCAAAAAACAAAGGTGATGTAGTGCAGCACCAACAGCTGCCGTGCTCTGTGTCTCCAGTGAGTTTACTCTTGGGAAATGTGTATGGGAGCCTTTCCCCAGCATGCTGTGTCAGAGCTGTGCCATTCCCACAGAGGGGACAGCAGCAGGGCTGGGCTCTGCTGCCCCAGCTCATACCAGGTTTTCTTGCCCAGCTGGGTGCTCCCCTGCCTGGGCAATCTCTCCCAGTCTGCCTGCTTTACTGCAGGTCTCATGAGCCTGAGCAGAGCCCAGCCCTCCTTGGGACCCTTGGGCCTGGACTGGAACACTTCCCATCACCAAGTGGGAATTTACAGCAGCTTCCCAGAGAGGCTGCAGAAGGTTTAGCCACATATCAATGGCCAAAGTCATCCCCCTTCCCCAGCTTCATCAAGCCAAGGAATGGCACAAGGGATTCTGCCTTTCAGAGACCTCAGGAAGGCAGAAAGACCAAGGGACAGTTGGGGTCATGTCACGAGCTGCCTGACTCTGGGATGAGTAACTGGTGGCAGTGCTGCAGCTCTGGCACTTGCACAGGGTTCTGAAAGGTTTCAATAAACAGCTTGGTGTCTGATCATCTGTGGCTTGCTGTGGCCTCTGCTCTGGCTCCAGCCTTCTCTGGCAAAGCTTCACGGGTGTGAGAGTGGCTATGATGGATATTCCATGTCTGAAAGTATTCAAGGTGAGGCTGGACAGTGCTTGGAGCACTCTGGTCTGCTGGAAGGTGTCCCTGTCCAAGGCAGGGGGCTGGAAGGAGATGAGCCCCAAGGTCCCTTCCAGCCCAAACCAGCCTGTGAATCCGAGACCAGAGGAGTGCCCAGCTCATGGTGACACACGTGAGTGTCTCTGGGAGCAGCATGTCAATGCTCTGCTGAGCTGCTCTGTCTATGTTCAGCACATGGTCAAACACTTACAGTTTGGAGCTGGAAACAAAGAGTGCAAGACAGCTTCTGCTTAAAAAAATTTCCTTAATTTAGGAATTGCTTTAAGCCAACATTACCTCTGCTTCCTGAGCACACACAAGGCTACTGCCCTGGAAATAATCTGCATTAGCCTTACTGGAGTGACCATGTTGCCATAGCTACTGTTGGTTTCTCTATACCTCAAGCTTGAAGTGTTTATTATGATTAAATCCCATCCTGTCCCATTCCTCATTAAAAAATTCTGGGTTGAGAGTGTCATAAAGTGAATTACAATGTAATCCTTCCTTTTAAGAAGCTGTTTCAAGTAGAAATTCCATAAAGTATCTTAGGCATTGATATTTATTAAAGATCATTAATTCATGATTGGATTATTTTTCTTCAGTCATCACTACTTCTTTATTCTTCATAATATCTGAGTAGCAGAAACCCCTGGTGCTGTTGGATCATTTCATGACTGGGATTTTTCTTTCACCACTACATTGCTGACCACTCTGAGAAAAGATGCTCAACACGCTCAGCTTTGACCTCAGAGGTGTCCTCACAGGTTTGAACCAATTTGGCAAGAAAATCAAAATCGGTCTTATGGCACATGTGGTTATCAGGAATGCTGGTCCTTGCTCTTGGAATCCCTGTGGGTGTTGCAAGGAGAAGTGACTGCTGCTAGGATGAATCCTTTCTCAAATGGCCTGTCCTTCTCTTTCCTTGCTTAATTTGGTTTGTTTTTTCTTTGTGGAGAGCGAGCTCAGAACCATAAAGTCCTTTCAGAGTGTTCTTGGCTGTGAAGGAACACAACATGGTCATCCCTGGACTTTCCTGGCTATTGTGTAAATTGGCTTTTCCTTGCTTTGGGAGGATACACCATTGATGTATCAGTCATTTCACACCCCAGTGGCATCCTCTCCAGAGACCTGATGGTCCTGGGGGATCATTCTTTGATACCTCTCGACTGTCCTTGGTGTTGCCTTTCCAGCCCTGCTCCAGGTACAGCTCAGGGCAGTAACACAGCATCCCAGCCCAGCCCCTTCCCAGATCCCTGGCATCTGGCAGGGGATGCAGTAACTCGCCCTAGGGACTGGTACACGCTCTGCAGCTGCTCCTGCCCTGCCCCAAAACAGTGACCCACAGCCACTGTCCCTGTGCCTTCCCTGTGGTCCCTGTCCTCTGCCTCTCCCTGTGCCCAGTGGGACTCTAGCACAGTTTTTGCTCTCCCCGAGACTCTGGAGTTGGAGTAACACTGCTCAGCCCTGAGCCTGGGCCTCACTGTGCTGCATTTCCCTGGAAGGACTCGCTTTTCCTCCCTCCTCCCCAGGCCTTTCCCCAGCCACTGAGACGCAGAATGCTCCTCTGTGCCGCCTGCTTGCACTAGGTAAATTGTTTGCGTAATGTGCTGGGGTTATTTTTTAAAGTTGGCAGAGTAACTGTGAATCATCAAATCTCCCTGAATTCACTCCTCACAAGACACCCATAAAAGACCCCATTGTGTGGAGCAGTGATGGGAGCACAGCCGGGCCGGACAGAGCCCACTCTGAGATCTGCGGGCTGATCCGAGCATCGCCCGCCCGAGGCTGGGCTGTGCCACGGCACCGGCAGCTCTATGGGCTGGCTCCCAGGCGCTCACCTGGGACCCGACACAGCGCCTGAACCGCTGATCGCTTCTGCTGGAACCAACACTTTCTCCTTTTTTCCTCAATTTTAACAAGAAGTGACAAATCTGCTCCAGTGCACCCGCGCTGTCCCAGCGGTCACTGGATGGTGCCGGAGCCCCGGGGTCCGCTCCGGGAGGAGGACGGAGGGGAGAGCGGCGGATCCCGCAGGGCGGTGGAAACCGGCGGTACCGGCGGTACCGGGGCTGCCCTGGCACGGCGGTACCGGGGTTACCGGGGGCTGCCCGGGCACGGCGGTACCGGCGGTACCGGGGCTGCCCTGACACGGCGGTACCGGCAGCACCACAGACTCCCCGGGCACGGCGGTACCGGCGGTACCGGGGACTCCCCGGGCGCGGCGGTACCGGCGGCTCCGAGGCTGCCCGGGCACGGCGGGGCCGCCCGGCCGGGGGCGCGGCCGAGCCGAGCCGAGCGCTGCGGAGCCGGGGCGGGGCCGGGGCGAGGGAGCGGCTCCGGAGCGCCCGCCCCGCGCGCAACCTGAGCGCAGGAGCGGCGCCAGGGCCCCGCCTCGGCCGGCGGCGGGAGCGGCTGCGCTCGGCTCGGCTCTGCCCTGCCCGGCTCGGCTCTGCCCGGCCCGGCTCCGCTGCGCTCCCCGCGCTGCGGGCGGTGCGCGGTGGCCGCGGTGTCCCGGCGGTGTCCGGGCGTTTTCCCGCCCGTGTCCCGGCTTTTTCCCGGCGTTTTCCCGGCCGTGCGCGGTGTCCCCGGCGCCGCCAATGCCGGCGGCCGCTGGCGGCGGCGGGGCCGCGGCCGGGTGAGGCGGCGGCGGAGCGCGGCGGGCGGCGGTGCCGGCGGGGCCCGCGCCCTCCCGCACGATGTCAGCGCAGGGCAAGTTCAAGAAGGACAAAGAGATCATCGCCGACTACGAGGCGCAGGTCAAAGGTGCGGAGCGGGGCCGGTGCGGGGCCGCCTTTGTGTGCGGGGCGGGGCGGGCTCGGGCCGGCTCCGGCCGCGGGGGCTGCCATCGCCGTGCGGGGCGCCGACGATGGGCTCGGATCGCTCGGGCCCCGGAGCGCCGGCGATGGGCTCGGATCGCTCGGGCCCCGGAGCGCCGGCGATGGGCACGGATCGCTCGGGCCCCCGAGCGGCGGCTGCCGGAGCCCCGGGGCTGTGCGGGGTCGGGAGCGCTGCTCCCGGTGGGGAGCGCATCCATCCTGCGGTCCTTATGTAAGGAAGTTCGCCTTGGTGCTCCGGCCCCTCGCCTCCAGGCCCGCAGTCATTATTATGCAAGTGCGGGTAGTGGTGCGGGGTGCGGAGCTGTGCGGCAGGCGCCGCGTTCCTGAGTGTTGGACAGAAATAAACCTAGAGGTTGTGTCTGTTGGGACCACTGAGCATCAAATCCCAGGCTCCAAGTTAATTGTTGTTTCGAAGGAAAGTTGGTAGCCTGTGACACACGGCAGCTCTGCAGCCCAGGGAAGGGCTGGGCGGGTTGGAGGCACAGGGAAATGAGCCAGTGAAGCCCTCTGGTTATTGCACACCCAGGGATTTTCATGTTGGTACCAAACTGCATTAGTGGGCATTTCGGGATAACTTAATAAATCTGCTCCTTATTGCAGTAATTGCTAATTCTCTTAGCTGATGACAGCTCCTTTTCCCACCTTCAGACAGAGGATACTCTCAGCTGCTTACTTCATGCCTTTTCCTTGCATTGCCTTCTTCAGTCTCCTCACTATTGTATAAAACCCGCTCCACTCCCCCTTTGCTTGGCTGTTTTATGTGGATGTGTGTTCACCACTTCATTATATTCAAGTCTAGGACGTGGTTAATTAAAAGTGTAAGACAGCTTTTCTGCAGATCGCCTTGTGCTTGTGCAAACTCAAGAGCTTCCATTTTTCTCCAGACCCCAGCTCCGCTGGGTGAGGGCTGGTCTGCACAGGCTCGGCTCGGGAAAGTCTCTGCCTAACTGCGGCAGCGTGATGCCAGAGGGAGGGATTCTGGGGAAGGGGCTGGCTGTTGGTTTCGTGCCATTGTTTACTTTCGTGAATTTCAGTCTTTTGTAGCTGGCCTCCAAGAGTGACGGAACAGTCACAACACGCCCTGCTCGGTGCCAATTACCTTTCTGCTTGTGTGTAATTTGGGCAAATTGATGTTATTGCACCCTGCAGTTAAGCAGATGAAATATTCTTTTAGTCTGTGGTATTGTTCGTTTTATGGGAGGGGATTTGCGTTTGTTCCCAGGGACTGTCCCGTGGTTTCACGTTATTCTCGAAGATGTCCTGGGCTGGGTGATTCCTTCTCCTCGGGTTCTTGGGGTGCAGAGGGGTCACTGGGGCAGGACTGGTTCTGAGCTGTTCCAAAAGCTTTGCTGTGGATGTCTCCAGTGGTTTTTTTCTGATTGTTGTTTGTGACTGGCGTACTCCCGGGCCATGATCATTCTTGGCCTGGCTTCTGTAGCCTCATGGTTTCCATATGTGAGGCAGTTGATGCTGGAGTGTGTGTGAGGGTGTTACATTACACCAGTGATCACGTTTTGTGCAGCTGTAATGCAGACGGTTTGCTGATGGGCCAGTAATAATTTCCTTGATACTGTTCTGTGCCTAATTACACCTCCAGGAATGTCTGATTCCTGATGCAGGCTCCTTGGTTTGTGTTTTCACCTGAATAAAGGCTGATTCTTCTGTTGGCAGGGTGTGGCTGTGCTGTAGCTGGTGAGAGGTGGGTCAGACACCAAGGCCGTGTGTGCTGCCTTTGAGGAGTGCTGGCTCCATCCCTGCACACACTGGCTCTGGTACAGGACCGGGTTTTGGGGTGCCCATGGGGAGATGCTCACAGTTGTGACTGGATACCATCTCTTGCTGTCACCTCTCTGTGGGGACCAGGGTGGCTCTGATGCTGAGCTGTGGGAGGAGGATAACCATCAGAGTTTGGAGGGATTGGTGCAGAGATCTGCTGTAGCCTGTGCTTCCTCACTGAATGGCAGCAGTGTAAACAGAGGTGGCTGAGCAGGCAGGACAGCAGGTGGTCACTGCATTTGTGGGGACCCAAGGCAGGCTGGTGGCCGAGGATGCACTGAGAAGGAGCAGGGCTTTTCTGTGCTCAGTTGTGTGTTTAGTGTGCCAGCCTGACACGGGCCAGGGTTTGTGATCATGGAAACCTTCCCTGAGGCTGTGACAGTGACCATGAATGAACACCCACCTCCACTGTGCACAGTCTGGTCTCTCCTGGCTTGACCGAAGGATTGGATGTAGGCTACCTCATTATCCCAGAAATCCTGTTTATTTTCTTCAAGGATTGAGTCATTACTCTATTCATATCTAATCCCTCGCTACCCTCATGAAGACAGATGCCCAAACCTCCAGAGAAAGATTGAAATGGAAGGGAAATAGGGATAAAGAAGAGGGGAAGTGGTGGCAAGGGGCACTAACATTCAAAGTGTTGATACAGAAATGCTGAAATATGAAGATGATAATAGATGAAAATTTGAGGCAGTGATCTCACAGTACACAGGATAGGCCTTGGATCTGAACACAGAGCTTATCCCCATGGCATGGACAGGAGAATGGGAGGGAGAAAGGTGGAAAACCCTGCCTGTGAGCTCCCAGGCGTGTGTCACCACGGACGGAAGAGCAGTAACCCCAGCAGAGCTGCACTGGAAATGCATTTGCAGACGAGGTCAGAGAGGGTTGGGGTGGGCAGGGTGCTGCTGTTGAGGGGTGTCAGCCAGTGCTGGGTGAGGCAATGGTCCCCCAGCAGTGCCTGAGGTGAGTAAAGCCTCTGTACCAGAGAGAGGAGCTCACCTGGGAGGGGGGAAAAGCTGCTGAGACTGATTCCAAAGGAGTTTTGCTGAAGCCTCCAGCTCTGGTTGTTGGGAATTAGAGCAGGGCTGGGGGGTTTGGGGATGGCCTGTCAGTGCTGCAGGCTGAGCCCAGCCCTGCCCGAGCTGCGGCTGCAGCAATCGAGGAGCCCAGGCACTTGTGCCCAGTGAGATTGGAAGGAGCAGGGTTGAACTGGGAATTATCTTTGTGCACAAGGTGATTCACTGGCCGTGATGGCTCTGTATCTCCCTTCCTTCCCTGCAGATTGTCTGCTCCTCTCATGGTGGGAAGGAGTTGTCCTGAAAATGCTTGGAAAGATAGTGGGGCTGTGTGAGGTGCAAGTGGATCTGCACGAGTGCCCTGCTGGCCATGCTGGCCTGGGTGCCCCAGGGAGGGCTGGGGGCTGTTCCTGGGTGTCCCAGGCAGGGCTGGGGGCTGTTCCTGGGTGCCCCAGGCAGGGCTGGGGGCTGGCAGGGGCCGTTTTTGGGTGTCCCAGGCAGGGCTGGTGACAGGGGCTGGCTGCTGCAGGGTGTGTGAGGCTCTCCTGGTGCCACTGTGCTGCTGGCAGTGGCAGGCTGTGGCTGTGGCTGTGGCTGCTGCTGGCCCTGCTCCTGCAGCCCTGCATGCACACCTGTGTGTCACCTCTCCTGCACACACACAGCCCTGGCAGGCTCCTTCCCACCGGGCAGTGTCTCTGTCGCTTACCCCGGCTCTGTCCTGCCCTTCTGCTGCTTTTTCATCTTCCAGCTGCCAGGAGAGGGGAGAGCTGGCCCAGCACTGCCAGGAGATGCTTGCTGGATGGTACCAGGAAGAAAATATTTAAGAATACTTTTAGGAGACAGGTTTTCTCATGTGCCTTAGCCTTGCAGACGGGAGTGGTGGTGTTAAAAATAAACACCAATGGAGATACGGCTGCAGATTTACAACTGCCACATGAGAGCTGCCTGTGGAGCACAGAGCACCGCAGATCCTTGCATGCACAATTCAAAGTGCGTCTTTTCAGATGTGCATTTTTAATTGGGCTGCCTGGCCAGAAATCGAAATAAATGTCTCTCCCTCATTATGGTCACATGCCTGATTTGTGGCAGCAAAACAAACCAGTTTTAATTATGCACATGCAACCGCCTATGGTCCAGCATTGGCAATCCTGCAGAAAATTGCACATTGTGTTGATTGGCTGTTTAATTTTATATTACTTCCTGCAGTTTTGCCTTAACCCTGGTGAAACACAGGTCCCTGTGTGATCCCTCTGGCTGCTGTTGGCAGGAGGCTGCTGTGAGGCAGTGGCATCTTGTGTCCTGTGACTGGCAGGTGACATGATGATCCTTTGTGGTCCTGGAGGTGGGGCTCTCCAAATGGTGCATCTGGCTGTATAGTGGCAAAGAGATGATTCCTTGACCTCTGGGACTCTTAGTTGCTGTGTAAATTGATAATAAAACTAGAGTTTTGATGGGTTTAGCATATAAAAACACTGGAAAGATCTGCAGACTTGGGCCAAAGAAAACGAATGTATTCTTTCCCGTTTTCATAAAGTTGAGGTTAATTTATTGTTGCCCATTAGCTTCCTTTGACTTCTTCTATTGCAGTAGCTGCATCCCGTCTTTTGTGTCTATTTTCTTTTCCTACCTCTTGCTCTCCTTCCACTTTGCTCAGAAAATGTTGGGAAAATTCTCATGCCAAATAATTTTTTAGGATACTGGTTTGCTCAAGGGAGGAGCTTTGTTTCTCGAGGAGGAGAGTCACCAAGGCTTGAACCTGACAGCTCATTCAGTGAAATGGTTCTGTGCAAGAGAGAAAGTCGCACCCTTTTGTGGGGGCTGGTGGGAAAGTGCTCAGTGTTAATCACAGAAACAGATAGGAAGTGTCTGTTGGCTTAATTGTTGTGCTTAACAAAATGTTAGTGGGGAAGTGTGAGCCAAGGGCACCCAGCGTGCCTGGCATAGCTCAGCTGGCTTTGGGGGAGCTGCCTGCAGCAGGGAGCAGATCCTGCTGGATCTGCTCTGGATTCTGCTGGGACACTTCAGGAGAGCTGCTCCACACTGCTGCTGCTTGTTACCTCCCCCTTCCCTGCTGTGTTTCCTCCATGGGTCTGGCAGCTGGGTTCTACAGAGCCCTCTGTGCAGGCCA